CACGAACAGATAGATGAATAGATAAAGAAATTGTGGTGTACATTCCCAATGGAGTTCTGTGCAGCCATGAAGAAAAGCATGATTATGTCATTTTTGAGGAAATAGATAGAACCTGAACCTGGAGGTCTTTGTGTTAAATGAAGCAACCTAGACAGAGAAAGACATGCAGGGCTTCTCTGTAGCTTTGGAACCTGTCCTGAAACTTTCTCTGTAGACTAGGCTGACCTCGAACTCAAAGAGATCTGCCTGTTTCTGACTCCAAGTCCTGGGATTAAAGGTGTGCACCACTACCACCTTGCCATTTATTTGGTTTTCAAGAAAGGTTTTCTCTGTGTAATAGCTCTGGCTGTCCTGGAACAGCCAGACCTGGAATTTGTAGACCAAGCTGACCTCGAATTCACACAGATCCTCCTGCCTCTGCCTCCGGAGTGCTGAGTGCTGGCATTAAAGGTGTGTGCCACCACCGTCTGGCAACAAAAATAATTTTATGGTTGGGGTCACTACAACCTGAGGAACTGTATTAAAGGGTCACAGATCTTAGAGGATGTTGTGGGCTGGAGCAGGGCCAGCTTCATGAGCATGCATTTTGTGAAGCTTCCCTGGGTTCCATGCTCAGAAGTGCCCAGAACTTGCTTTAATACCCAGCAAACCCCATTGCAAGTCACCATTTTTAGAGGAGAGGCTCCCTTTTTACTTTCTCTAAATACTACCCCACACATTAGGAGACAGATTTCCTGTGGAAAGGAAAAGCAAGAAGGTAAGGCCAAGGGGAATACTTGAAGGGCAAAGTTTGAGTGATAAGGGGAGGGAATGAAACCCTGGGGCAAGGCTGTTGTAGAACTGGGAGAACTGGCAGGATTGAGAGGAGACAGCAAACCTTGCTTGGGTCTCAGAAGCAAGCCAAGCGGGGGCAGTAGAATAAAACACAACAAAATAAACAGGGTTGTTGGTTTTCGTAACAATCCAAAGACTACTGGGGTGTGGCTAGGAGCTGGCTTTAGAGGACTGAGTGGGAGAAAGCAAGGTCAAGGGAGGCGAGGAAGGGAGGCTCTGAGGAGGGCAGGACCTGAATGGCAGAGAGATAGGGTATCCACAGGGAAGACTAGGGTCACAGAAAGGCCTCCTCTTATTGGCTTGGTTTATACACGTTTGCTACTATTTTGTATCATTTTAAAACATAGTTTTATTTCTTTTTTAATTTTCAGTGACATATTGAATATACAGCTACTTTTCTTGTGTGGGAATCTTTAATAAAGCTTGAGTGACTGCCAATCTAGTTCCCATCTTATTATTAATAAAATAATTTGTAGTAATTTCTGAAATTATAAAAAATTTCCATTATTCGCCCCCTCCCCTTTCCTCCCTGCAAACTCTCTCGTGCACAACCCTTTCAAATTCATGACCTCTTTTATCTTTAGTGGATGTTCCGTCCGTCCGTCTGTCCATCCATCCATCCATCCATCCATCCATCCATCCATTCAGTTCCTAAATTCATAAATACAGCCTCAGTCCACGTAAGGTTACCTGTGTGAATATGATCTTATGGATGACCCATGGTGTTAGGTAACCAGTTGGGGAGTTCGTCCCCACAGCATTTTCCTGCTCTTAGCCTTTGCCACCTTACGCATCTCTTGGAAGTTAGTTTGGGGAATACAGCTCCAGACCTTGGCATGGGCTCTTACAAATTGACCTGAACTTTTCCACTCGCAAAAGTTTTTATTTGGGACTGGATAATTCTTGTGTGTGTGTCCCACCCCAATTTGTGTGTGGTGCTTGCATATGTGTGCACCTGTGCTACATGTGTATGCTCCTTTGGAGGTCAGAGGTTGATATCAGCTCTCTCTATTGTTACCCACATTGTTATTGTTGTTGTTGTTTTAACTATTTTGGTTTTTTTTTAATTTTTAAAGATTTTCTTTTTATGCATATGTGTGTTTTGACTGCACCTGTGCCTGGTGCCCATGGAAGATAGAAGAAGGCATTGGATCCCCAGGAACTGGAGCTCCAGACAATTGTTAGCCTCCACATGGGTTCTGGGAGTTGATCAGTTCCCCCAAAAGAGCAACAAACTCTCTTAGTTGCTGAGTTATCTCTCTAGACCCTTGTTATTTTTTGAGACATAGTGTCTCACAGCCTGAACCCAGAGCTCACTCATTTGGATAGGGTAGCTGGCCAACAAATCCTTGGGATCCATCTATTTTCATTCCCTGAATGTGGCTTACAGGCACGTGTTACTCTGCATGGCCTTTGAAACTTTTTTTTTAAAATAGTGCCTAGAGAGATGACTCAGTGGTTAAGAGATGTACCATTCTAGCAGAGGACCAAGTTTGTATGGTGTGTATGTGGGGGGCATGAGTACGGAGATCAGAGGTTAATTTTATGTAGTTGGTTCTCTCCATCCACATGAGTGGGGCTGGGTACTTTTCTGTCATATCTCCCACACTTCCCATTTGAAAATCCACCTTTTTTTTTTTTTTTTTTTTTGACAGGATTTCTCTGTAGCTTT